AGCTCAGCGGCAAAGCGCCTGCCTGGCAAGCGTAAGGTCGTGAGTTCGGTTCCTGGTACCGGAGAAAAACCAAAAAAAAAAAAAAAAAACAACAAAAAAAGGTAGAAGGAAGAGCTGGGTCTGGAGGCACATGGCTGTAATCCCAGCATTTAGGAGGCTGAGGCTGGAGGATTGCCATGAGTTCCAAGGCCAGCATGGGCTACATTGAATTCAAGGCCAGCTTGGACTACACAGCAAGATCCTGTCTCATAAAGTAGGAGGAAAAATACCAACTGTCAGTGAAATAGAACATGTACATGTAACAATTTCCAAGTAAAGAGTCATCCCGGGACAATATCAAAATTGATAAACCCTTAGACTGATTAGATAAAAGCATGTTGCTGTCTTAGTGACTGATCCCATAAATTGCCAGACTAGAAAAAAGGACTAGATCCCAGTTTACTTTAAAAGCAGCATTACCCAGCTACCAAAACCTGTTAACATTACAAGGAAAACTAATAACTATCTTCTGCTATGAATATAGAGAAAATTCCCAGACATCAGCTACTTGAGAGGCTGAATCAGGAAGATTGCCAGTTCTGGGTAATATAGTGAGACACTGTCAAATAAGAGGACTGGGGACGGAGCTTAGTGGTAGACACATGCTCAAGGGTTAGGTTCAAGCCCCAGCACATACAGAAAGGCAAATCTAACAGTGTATATCAAAATACATCATTTGGGTTTATTGCAAAAATACAAGATTGACTCTGCTGGAAAACTAATCAATGCAATTCAAGTAATTAATTTAAAAGGAGAGTGGGTGTGATGGTGCATACCTGTAATCTCAGCACTGGGGAGCTGAGGCAGGAGGATCACAAGTTCGAGGCCAGTCTGAACTACGCAATGAGACCCTGTCTCAAAAATAAAAGAGAAAAAACAACCATTTAGATAGATGCAGAAGCCGGGTGTGGTGGTGCATGCCTGTAAACCCAGCACTCAGGAGGCTGAGGCAGGAGGATCGTTTTGAGTTTGACACTAGCCTGGGCTACAAAGTGAGCTCAGTGCCAGCCTGAACTGCATAGTGAGACCCTGTCTCAAAAAGACAAAAAAAGCAAAAAACCATTAGAGTGTAACTCCCAAGATTTTATATATCACTGGTAAAAAGTGAATTTAGTGTACACAAGGCCATGGGTTCAATCCCCAGCAACACTGCAAAGAGAGGAGAAAACAATTTTGAAAACCAAGAATAAGGGGCTGGGTGTAGTTGCCTGTAATCCCAGCACTCCAGCACTCAGGAGGCTGAGGCAGGATTGCTGTGGGAGTTCAAGGCCAGCCTGAACTGCATAGTGAAACTCTTGTCTCAAAAAGACAAAAAAAAAAAAAAAAGTGCATGACTTTAATAAAAAGTATCAGTAAAAGCCTTACAGTAGTAAACTTCCCAATAAAATATTGAAATCTTTGAGATGAGTGAAACAAAGATGTCCACATCCTTTCCTAGTCAGTATGATAAACCAAGAAAATGAGCCAGGCATGGTGGTGCATGCCTGAAATCCCAACACTTGGGAGGCTGAGGCAGGAGGATCGTTGTGAATTCAAGACCCACCTGGGCTACAAAGGGAGCTCAAGATCAGCTTGAATTACGTAGTAAAAAAAAAAAAAAAAAGTAAAAAAGAATGTGCTGATAGTGTGATTGTGTACAAAGATGATCCAAACATGTCTACAAACTTAGAATTAATAAGTGAATTTAGCATGGTCACAGAGTACCAAAGAAAATCAATTATGTGTGTACATATAAAACTAAATAGAAAAATGAAGCTTCAAAAATGGTGTACAATAAGCTTAAGTTAAGTAGCTAGAAATAGATACAGCAAATGGTGTAGAGAACCTCTGTTTTTTTTGTTTTTTGTTTTGTTTTTGGTTTTTCTCTGGTACCAGGAACCAAACTCACGACCTTGCTCTTGCCAGGCAGGTGCTTTTGCCACTGAGCTAAATCCCCAGCCCCTTTTTTTTTGGGGGGGGGGAGAACCCCTGCATTGGGAAAAAAAACATGCTGGAGGGAAATTAAGACCTATATAAATGGAGATATGTGTCATCTCCATGGATAGGAAAGGACAATAGCGTGCCAATTTTTTTCAAATTGATCTATAGGTTAAACTCAATTCCAAGTAAAATCCTAGCAGTTTAATTTTTGTGAAAATTGACAGGCTGATTCTAAAATTCGCCAAAAATGCCAAAGCAGCCTTAAAATTTTAAAACATAGGCTTAACTGTTCCCAGATATCTTCCTTTAATTTTAAATCTCCTTGTAGACATAATTTAAAAATAACACATTTTGTTTTTGCGATCCTTTATCAAAGTTTTGTCTTGGTATGGAATATTATACCATTTGTAGTCTTTATTTTAAAAGCTTTCTATCATTTTCTTAGGGTTTTTTTAATACCTCACACACTTAGTAAGGTGACAGGGATTGGAACTTTTATTACACAAGAATGGCAGAGTGGTTATATATTCTCTGGTCTCTGATACTATATATTCTAGCTTTTAATTCTGTGTGTAGTCTCATAATTAGAGTTCTTAGAGGGAATTTAATATTTTAAATTACCTTTTTTTGACTACCATGAAGATACTTTATTTCAGAAGTTTAAGTAGTTTGGCTGGGTAACCTGGGGAACTGAGCTTGGATTAGCCAGGCTGAATATCCTAACAGGTGTCTAAGATGGCACAGGGTGAAGAGGGCCTAGGCAGGCCTGGGTGGCACTGTGAGAGTTCTGTGGTTAGGTCTCCAGTACTCTCAGTACAGCTGCTGCTTCATTTTAATTTAGACTTCTAGACCTTTCCTGGGCACAGTTCCCAGAAAGTCCCTCTGCTGCCCTGATTAGATTTCTGGATCTGTTAATAATAGGCAGCTGAGGGGGAAGGGCCAGGAGTTCTGCAGAAATAGGAATTACCAAACCAGATGGCCAGTTCCTGTGCCTGGGGCCCTGTCTGCTTCCTTTGGATCTAACGAGAGTCCTTTAGAAAGCATACATTCTTTGAAGCCATACTAACCTTGTTAAAGTCTCCAAGTCCTCACCCCCAGAATCCGAACACTCAGCCTGAGGAGTAGTGGTGTGAGAATGCCAAAACACACTGTAATGTTTGAGATCGGCACTCCTAGAAAGTCCAGGGTAAGTGCTGACACGTTTGACAGATCACCCCAAAGGGAAGGTTTGGCCGCATTGAGCTGATAAGGCTCAGGGCAAGGCAAATATATATAGTCTTAGAGTTAGGAGTGGGATAAAAGGGGGAAGGATGAAGCTCAGAAAAAAGATTATGCTGTCAGGTGGGTAGAAATGGGAGAGCTAGACAAGCATATTAAGTCAAATCTGAAACTGCCTTTTACATTTCAGTTCACCCCCTACTCTTCCTATTCCCAGTGATGTCCTCCCTTTTAATAATTCCCTTCCCTTCAAACTCTTTTTTTTTTCCCCTATCAAAACCTACTCCCAGTAGCTGGGTATGGTGGCATGCACATGAATCCCAGTACTTGTGAGGCTGAGACAGGAGAATCACCATGAATTCAAGGCCAGCCTGAATTACCTAGTGAGACCCTGTCTCAGAAAACAAAAGAACAGGGGCTGGAGATTTAGCTCAGCAGCACAGGGCCTGCCTGGCAAGCACAAGGTTGTGAGTTCGATTCCCGATAGTAGAAAAAAAAACAAAAAACAAAACAACAACAACAACAACAAAAGAACAGAGGAGTATGGTTAATCTAACCTAGGTAAAAACTATTTAAGACCATTAATGCTGGTCATAGTGGTATATGCCTATAATCCCAGCATTGGGACATTCAGTAGGCTGAGGCAGGAATACTGCAGCAGGTTCAAGGCCAGCCTGGATGGTAGTGAGTTCAAGGCCAGCTTGTACTACTAAGTGAGACCCTGTCTCAAAAAAAAAAAAAAAAAAAAACAAAGGCTTCAAAAATTTCTAGATGCAAAATTAAATCCTTTCATTGTAAAATATAGCACAGATACAGAAAACTATAGAAGTATATATATAACTTAGTAAATGATCACATAGTGAAGAACCCTGTTAGCCTTCAGGACTAGAAACAACTTGGCCAGCTATTCCAAAAGCCAGGTGTATGTCCTCATCCTGTCACAATTCTTCCTTATGGTCATCATCTAGTAGGATTTTATTTTAAGGCAGCTATGAATAGTCACTAATGGTAGAATATTAGGCAGTTGAGGGATGTTTGGAGGGTGGGGCGGAACCACAAGAGCCAGCCAGATCTTAGACACTAAAAATCACATTTCACACAGCCGGTTCCCTCAGTGCCTATGGTTAAAATACACCTTTCTGAAAAAGGATTCCAAGGATTCCACAGAAGTTCAAGTAGAGGGCTGTGCCTTGTGCCTCAACTGCTTGTCATTCGCTGGTCCAAAAAGAGCCATACACACACAGCTTTCCCAAAGCAGAGCAAAAACAAATCCAGCTTGCAGAGCTATGGGAGTGTTGAAGAGGCTGGCTGTCTCTGCTATGAATATATGCGAGTATAAATCATCTTACAAACTTCTCTGCACCTGGGTTTCTCATTGCGAAGTATGGGGTCATGATACAGTAAACCCTTTATACTCCCCTATTACCCTCCTAATGTGGCCCCCTTTCCTAATCTTTGTTTCTGTTTCCGCTGTCTAGTCAGTCGCCCTTGTAAGGAGTTCATTATTTTCCTTACCTAATGACTATCTGGCGAGTCTGTACTTCCTCCCCTCTGGATTCTTATACACCATGAGCCTCCTTCATCTCCACCCTTGCCTCTGTAAACATAGATGTATGTCCTGGCACTGAATGCATGCTTGTAGAAGGAATGAATGAATGTAAAGGGAGAAAAAATGAGTTGTTTCCCATTCATGTGTGCACTCTTCAATATTTAGCAAGTGCCTTAAATGTTCATAGATACTGACCCAACCCTTGACACTGGATCATTCCTCCCCTTCCTTTCTCCTTATCTTCCTCCTTTCCCATCCTACTTCTTTCTTCCTTTGCCGCGCCACTGAATGCCTTACAAGGTAGGACACAGATACACATGGGCATGCAGAAACAGACACTGTGGAAAGCAGCCAGATGAAATGAGGGCAGAACCAGCCACCCTACTTGCAGAGACCCACCGGAATGAAAAGCAGTGATTCACGGAGCACTGCAATTCAGATACTCCTTGAGTTTCACTTTGAGAGCTACTGCAGGATCGGGGTCAGTTGGGGATGTGGGGGAGGGTGGACATCAAGGTAGAGGGCTTCCAGGCTTCTCCCTAGAGATTCATTGCCAGTCAATCCCTCTCCTTAATCCCCTCCTCTCACCTACCCCCACTTCTCTCACGTGGACCAGTGTCCTGGGCCTTTAAGAGCTGGATGGGCTGGACTAAGGAAAGAGCTTACACCTCTCCCCACCCGGCTCCTTCCCTTTGCTTGTAACCCTGCCCGTAATAGAAGCAAACTGCAGTAGAAGAGGGGAGGAAGCAAGCAAGTGCACAGGAGAAAAGGAGCCAGGCTGGGCGCCTCAGCCCACAGCGGAGAACATCGCAGAGCCCGGGAAGCATAGCTCACAGACACAGGACTGCTATCCTGTCCATCACGGTAAGGGCCTGGCAGCTCTGGCTAGCCTCCTCTCCGTTCTGATCTGACCTGCCTGCGTCCTTAGCTCTGTCCTCTAGGTGCTTATGTACCCTGATCAGTTTGTTTCCTAGATCCTTTCCTCACCCAAACCGCTCAGCAGAACTCCTCCTCCTGGTTCCTCAGCTTTCCTTCTGTGACAGTTTTCCTATCTGTGCCAATCACCCATTGCTTGTTTGTTTGTTTGGATTGTTTTTTGGTCCTGGGAATTGAACCAGTGGCTTCTCACTGAGCCACATTCCCAGCCCTTTTTATTATTTATTTATTAAGTGATTTATTTAATTTTTTGAGACAGTGTCTCACTAAGTCTCTAAGTTTCCCAGACTGGGCTTGAATTTGTGATCCTCCTGCCTCAGCCTTCCTGAGTGCTAGGATGACAGTTGTACACTACCACATCTGGTTTCACTCACCCCTTTAAACATGTCTCTGGGGAAGGGCTGGGGATATAGCTCAGCAGCACAAGCATGGGCCTGGCAAGCAGAAGGTCCTGAGTTCCATTCCCAATTTAAAAAAAATAAAAAATCTGAAAACAAAGATGTCTGTGGGGGTTGGGATATAGAACAGTGGCACATCGCCTGCTTGGCAAGCACGAGGTCCTGAGTTCGATTCCTGGTACACACACACACACACAATAGTGCTAAAGATGTCTCTTAGCTGCCCAGGGCCAGGAGTGCTAACCCTAGCCACTCCTTAGAGGTGAACCTGCCCTCAGTGAGGGAAGAGAAAGAATTGGAGTAGACAGGCTTTAACATACATTCATTAATAGATTGTTGAGGGTTACCAAAGGAGGGTTGGCTAAGACCTTGGGGAGTCAGGAACTCCTAGTAATAGTTATGAGACTTCCTTGGGTGAGCCAGAGTTCCAGTCCTGTGCCTTGTTCTCCTGCTTAAAGATCCAGGGTTGGGGCTGGGGATTTAGCTCAGCGGCAAAAAGCGCCTGCCTGGCAAGCGCAAGGTCGTGAGTTCGGTTCCCGGTACCGGAGAAAAACCAAAAAAAAAAAAAAAAGATCCAGGGTAGTTTCTTGGTACACTAAGTGCTGTACTATGGGACTTTAGATTACAATTTCCTGATCTGTAATAAGAGAGTTTAGGATTTCCCAGACTCACCTGTACCAGGTGTGCTTGTTAAATATTCTTGAGCCCTATACTTGGAATATTTGATTTGGCAGATTTTATGGTGGGGCTAAGGAATCTCTGTTTTAAGGTAGTCTTCAAGAAATATTTATTTAGTCATGAATCTTTAGATTCATGTGCTGTAAAAGAGCCTTCAAACTCTTAACATTCTGAGGGCTATGACCTGTGACCAGAGCCATTCTGTCCCCTTTACACAAATCAGGTTAAGCATAATCCTCCCTAGTAGCAAGAGAGCAGACAAAGTGATTTTCCTTCTTGCTGTTCCTTAGAGAGAAATGAGACTCCTTGAGTCCTACTGTAATGCCACTGGCATCAATGTTGACACTAGCAAAGTCCAACTCTAGATGATATGAAGCCACTTAGACATTAAGGGCAAATCTTGCTCTGTAGCCCCAGGCTAACTCCTAATGTATGTGTATTTTCATATCTGTATTAGAGAGGTAACTGTATCCTGAAGATCTCTGTGTATGTCCAGGAGTGAATATTTAAGAACCAAACTTTCTTACTGTCAGTTTTCATCCTCTATACCCTTGCCAGCACCCCTACTCCCAATTGTTCCCTCTCTTCCTACGGTGCCTACATCAGCTGTGACTATTCTTCCTTTCAGACAGCAGAACACCAAGACCTAGAACACTTGGGTTCTCGCTTGCATTCTCTGGATATTTGTTTGATCAGTCTCCTAGGATACAGGGAAAAGAGGCTGAGCAGAGGAACATGCTACTGAGTGTCCAAACCCAAGTGTCCTCCCTCCTGGACCACAGTCTCAAGATCCTCAGAGAAGATGGGAATGAGAGACACTGGGAATTAGTGGAGGAAAAGGAGGGAAGTGGATGGAAGAGATGGTGGAGAAAAGGGATGAGAACAGGAGAATAAAAAGGATGACCTAAGTAAGCAAAGAGAAAAACAGAAAGGACTGGGAGAGAAAAGTGAGCTGGGAAGGAAGGGAAAAGATGGATTCAGGGTAAGCTGGGGAAAGGAAAGAAAGGGGAAGAAAGCAAAGCTTGTTGGTGGGCTAAAGGAGAACAGAAATGATGAAGAGAGACAAAATGTGATTGCTCCCGATGGATTCCTAGCCTCTCTTTAACCTGTTTCCCAGAGAAGACTGTTTCTAAGGCAGAGTCTTGGCATACTCTCCTAGGTGATTGGATGGAGACCTGGGTTCTAGTTCCAGTTTTGTCACTCAGTGACTCTGGCAGGTCAGCCAATCTTCCTAGTCTTTGATCCTTTCTGTATGAAATGAAGTCCAGCTTTGTCATTATGTATCTCCCTGAGTTGACTGAAGCTGGCAGATGTCACCTGGATACAGGTTTAAAATAGTGGTTTGGGAATTCAGTCAGGATTAGATTTTTAAAAGGCCTAGCCCTGGGGTTGCAAGAGTTTGATAAAAAAGGGAAAAATAATTTTCTAAGAGTGGTTTAAAAGGTGGTAGTTTCCACCGGGGATGGTGGCACATGCCAGTAATCCCAGCACTTGGGAGACTGAGGCAGGAAGATTGTTGTGAGTTCAAGTCCAACCTGGGCTGCATAGCAAGACCCTGTCTCAAAAAAAAAAAAAAAGAAGCGTTAACCTCCAAAATAAGGATGTCTAGACACTTAGGCTTTGTTCTCAGGTTTCCTGTGTTTCAGGACATCATTGTGAGACTTGGACATGGGTATAATGGGAGGTCATTCTTTCTTCTGCCAGGCAGGCCCAAAGCCTGTCCCATTGTACCTGTGTCCCAGAAGGAGCCGCAGTTCAGAAAGGACCAAAGGCAAAATGTTGGCATGGGATATTAGGTATTAGTCCCACGCCAACCTTGCTCTGCTAACAGTGTGAAGACCCAAGAAATCTGAGCTGTGTTACTTTCTAATTCATTCTTTGGATAGCTTCTGCAAGCCTCATATTCTAAACTCTGCATCTCCACCCAGAAAAGGAACTGCTGTTGTCTCTCAGGAGGCACTTTTGGTCCCTTTGTCCATCTAGCGGCTTGTTCTGGTCTCACCCAGGCACCCATATTCAGCCTCAACCAACAAAATCTTGGAGCTGTCACAGGATTGTTTTTCTGCCAAGAGACTACTTCCCAGCCTTCCCCTCTCATTCTGTTATCCCTTTAGAAAGCTTTCTCTAGACCCTGGAGTCAGGGAAGATTTTTTTTTTTCAGTGACCCTCACGTTCTGCATGAGAATTTAGTCACTCCTAAATGACTTTAATACCATCTTTAGAGAGATAGGACTCTAATATCCCCTATCTGTCACCTCAGACAAGTCACATCAGACTTATGCTTTATTTTACTTTATTTATTTAATTTTTGGAACTAGGAATCGAACTCAGGACCTCATGCTTGCCAGGCAGCGCTGTGCCACTGAGCTAAACCCCTAGCCCTGCTTTTTTATTTTAAAATATAGGAATTAACTATAGCTGTTTTCATGGAATACTAACTGAATGATTGCTTTCCGGATTTTCAAAAATTTTTAAGATGTTCTCCACTATCAAAGTTTAAACTTTTTAATTAAACATAGCATGTTTCTATGCAAGTGTAGGTCCTTTGCTTATGCAAAAATTTAAGTTTCATGTCTCATGAGCTTTCTTAGTTTTAGTACCATGTGGTCAGGAGGTCTGCCCACTAACTAGGCAAAACTAGAATCAAAATGGCCACATATTAAATCTAGTTCTCTTTAAGGAAAGTTTGTTGTTAGAGGCCAGGACAGCTTAACCAGGTTCTAAATTAGCATATATTTTAAAAGATGTACCCTTTTTTGGTAGGCAAACTTCCAAATGCAGTTCTGCGATTTGTGTAATATTTTTTTCCTTGTACTGAGGGCCTTTGCACTGAGCCACATCCCCTTTTTTATTTTTTACTTTAAGATAGGATCTTACTAAGTTTCCCAGGTGATGGTGCTCAAACTTGTGCTTCTCCTGCCTCAGTCATCCAGAGTGCTGGGTTTATTTTATTTTATTTTATTTTATTTTATTTTATTTTATTTTTGGTTTTGGTTTTTCTCTGGTACCGGGAACCGAACTCACGACCTTGCGCTTGCCAGGCAGGCACTTTGCCGCTGAGCTAAATCCCCAGCCACAGAGAGTGCTGGGTTTACATATGGAACTACCATGCCCAACTTAGTGTAACTTTTTTGGTCCATTAAAAACTGAGAATAAATCAGTAGTGGTGGTGTATTCTTGTACTCCTAGCACCCTGGGAAACAAAGAAAGAAGATTACAAATGAACAAGACCCTGTCTCAAAAAAATAAAAAAGGTTGGGGAATGTAGCTCAGTGCAAAGACCTTGGATTCAGTCCCCAGTACCACCCACACAAACAAACCTGTGAAAATAACTGTTATGAAAAAGAATATAAGGCTGGGGATCTAGCTCAGTGACAGAGTTCTTGCTCAGCATGTGTGAGGCCCCAGGTTTGATCCTCAGCACCACACAAGAGGAGGAGGAGGAGAAGAAGAAAAAGAACAGAAAACATGCTTTATCATGTGAATGTAGAAGAATATAATTAAGTGTTGCAGAAGAGACTCAAATACTCTTGCCCAGCCCTTCAGGCTTCCCTACCCCTTCAGGAGCTGGACAATCCACATGGGCGCATGGACAAGAGTCCCAGAAGAGGGAAGCTGGGATGATTCCACCCGGAGAAGAGAAAGCTAAGGTGTGGAGAGATTCCAGGTTCTGAAAGGGGCTGGCCAAAAGATGGTAGTTCCCAGTAATGAGATGAGGCGTGAACTCGGTGTGGAAGAGGTTGCCTAGTGGGTTGTAGGGTAATGGGTAGCAAGAGGGAAGTTGGCAGATGGCCTGATTTAGCCCTCTGATTAGCCATGGGAAACAACAGAGGCTCTGGGATCAGACATATCTGGGTCCTTAATTCTAATCCTTATGTCATTTGAGACAAGTATCTTAGCCTCTCTAAACCTCAGAGTCACAGACTCAAATTAGAAGTAACAATAGTTACAGACTGTATAGACTAAGAAGATGCCAGCCTCTTTCTCTTGGTCCCTAAATACCCAAGATTCACACAAGCTCTATGCTCCTTCCTTTAGGTGACTCTGGCACCAGCTAGTGGAGCAGTGGATGATGGCATCCCTTATACAAGACCGTAAGTACCCTTGCAGAAGAAGAAGGGCAGGAGGCAGCCCAGGGAAGGGAAGAGGGCTGAACCTGGATTCCAGAGCTCCTTCTGGGCCCTCTACCCTACCTGCTATCTCCCTAGTCCCTACTTCTCCTGGCACAGGGCTGACCACTGATCAGGACCTGCTGCTGATGCAAGAAGGCATGCTGATACGCAAGGTGAGGTCCAAAAGCTGGAAGAAGCTAAGATACTTCAGACTTCAAAACGATGGCATGACAGTCTGGCATGCACGGCAGGCCGGGGGCAGTGAGAAGCCCACCTGTGAGTGTCCTGGAGAGCTGGGGTGGGCACGTGGGTGGGTAGGTCCCTGAGGAGGCTGGCAGCCTGAGGGCAGGGGAGGTACCAGGATCCCACTGATCTCAGGCCCTTTGTGGCTGTATCTGAGCCTGTACAGATTATAGTCTTTATAAGGCTGTTGTGAGGATTAAATTAGTTTTTCCATATAAAGGATTTAGATGAGTGCTGGCACATAGTAAGGCTCAAGTCATAGAAAAAAAAAGGGGGTGTGTGTGTATGTGTATTACTGCAGAGTGAATTAGATACTTAGCTACATCCCCAGCTCTTTTTTTGTTTGTTTTTGTTTTTAGAGACAGGGTCTTGCTATATAGTTCAGGCTGGCCTCTAACTCACAGTGATCCTCCTACCTCAGCCTCCTGAGTGCTGGGATTACAGGCATGTGCCAACATGGTCCATGGCCAGCCCCCACCCCTTAATGTTATTGGAGACAGTCTCACTAAGTCATCCAGGCTGGGCTCCTCCTCAGGTTCCCAGAGTGCTGGGATTACAGGTGTTCACCACAACTGCTGGCTCACTGGTTAAATCTTATCGTTGTTGCTGTTGTTGTTATTAGACAACCATGATCAAACAAACAAACAAAAAAGACCATGATCTCAGACCTCAGTCTTCCAGATTAAAGCTCTGGCTCTGCTACTTTCTTGCTGTAGGATCAGATTAAACAGTACCTGCCTAGTTGGTTACAGAGATTCAATGAAATAATGTATAAGGCACCTAAAATGGAATCTGATTAATCAACATTAGCCATTTAAAAATATATCAGAACAGTGTGGATTCTGTTGACCAAACTATGATACCTCTAAACATCTGATAGCTTAGTATGTGTGGTGGTACATGCCTGGAATCCCAGCCCTTTAGAAGCTGAGGCAGGAGGATCACCAAAAGTTCGAGGCCAGCCTGAACTACTTAGTGAGACACTGTATCAAAAAAAAGTTAAAATTAAAATCTGATCACAAATCGCAGAATCTTAGCGTCTGCTTTACACACATACTCAAAGATCATGATTCAACCCACTCCCAGCTGAGGTAAGGGGTAGAATTTCTCTGGCTCCTTCCTAGACATTTGGGAAGAGAAAACCCTCAAACCCTCAAACCTGGGCATATACTGCTTTGTTGTAATTGCTTCTACCATTCAAATGTGTTTCAGTTTGTCATCTCTATCAGTTCTTTTGTGATCACCATTGAGACTAGCCCTGGAAGGACCTAAGACAAGGACACTGGGGAATTAAATTCTTTTGTTCTATTGTCACACTGCCAGATGGTGGCTGGAAGCCACATCTAAGCACTTCTAGCATAGGGCCCCTGCCATGGTGCCTATGAAAACAGCAATGACTTTGGACTAAACTCTAGGAGTCTGCATCTCCATGCACTAATGCGTTTTAGGACTCAGCCTATACAGCTTAAGGTTCCATCTCTGCATATCTTCATGCTGGTCTTTGCTTCTTAACCCCTGCAATTTGTTGGATTCCCTTCCTTAATGTTCCCACCTGCTTCTTCTCTGACAGTCTCAATCTCTGATGTGGAGACAGTGCGGAAGGGCCATGATTCTGAGTTGCTGCGCAGTCTGGCAGAGGAGTTCCCACTGGAACAGGGCTTCACTGTTGTCTTCCATGGTCGCCGCTCCAACCTGGACCTGGTGGCTAACAGTGTTGAGGAGGCCCAAACCTGGATGCAAGGACTGCAGCTGTTGGTAGACCTTGTTACCAGCATGGATCAACAGGAGCAGCTAGACCAGTATCAATGAGATGGAGAGCCAGGGTGGGGACTGAGTGACTTAAGGAGCCAGATGCTGTAGCACTGGGAAGATGGAAAAGCATACAGGGATAGGGAGGCCCAGGGGTCCGCATGCTGTGTGGGAAGAGGCACCTCAGGCTCTGAGGTTCTTAGGGTTCTGAGGAAGAAATGGATGCTAAGGAGGGAAAAGATGTAGCCAGGCAGGCCGAGTGTGGTGGCGCACGCCTGTAATCCCAGCACTTGGGAGGCTGAGGCAGGAGGATCGTAATGAGTTTGAGACTAGCCTGAGCTACAAAGTGAGCTCGAGACCAGCCTGAACTGCATAGTGAGACCCTGCCTCAAAAAGACAAAAAAAAAAAAAAAGATATAGCCAGGCAGAGTTTTGGCATGAGGACTTCAGGATGGGAGAGAGGGAGAGGGAGAGGCTCAGGAGCAGACAGATAGATTGCTGCTGCTGCTGAGAGCTCAACAGAAGATCTTGGTGGTATTAACTGCCACAGAGATGGGAAGGAACTCTTTAGAGGGCTCTTGGGTATAGTACTTCAGGATTCCTGGATTGTATGCCACTTCATTCATTCATTCATCACCACAAAGCAGGATGTACCAAGCAATATGCCAAGTTTTAGGGTACAAAGATTAATTAGACACAGAAATTGCTTTAGTAGAGAGGATGGAATTGTGTGACCTAAGTACCAAAGGAGTGTTATGATACTTAGATTATTCATATGCATTCAAAGGAAGAAAGGTAATTCATGAAGTGTTCTGAGAAAGCTTCAGGGAAGAAATAACATGAGAGCTGGCCTTAAGATCAAGTAGTATTTGAACATGAAGAGAGGAAGAGTAAAGTTCAGGGATAAGAGAATGAAGATCAGGACAGAGTGGGATGTCAGAAAGCAGGGACATTAGATACAAGAATGCTGGGTTGCACCACATCACAGAGTAAAGATCTTAACTTCTATATTAAGGAAATTGGAGACAGGGAGGTCTGTTGCAGGGAGGTCTGCATGTGCCTGGGCCCTGCAATGACAAGATGGATTGGTGCTTGGGAGAGATTATTTTAGGAGCTCTGTGGAGAATGGATTGACATGGGAGAGAGGCTAGACGAGGAGGGGCAAGATATGAATGAATGAACACACACACGCACACAGTGCTTTTGCCTTGACTCAGAGTTGGATGGCTGAGTGACTGGTTCCAACGTGGAGATAAAAACCAAGATGGTCGGATGAGTTTTGGAGAAGTTCAGCGACTGCTGCACCTAATGAATGTGGAGATGGACCAAGAATATGCTTTCAATCTTTTCCAGGTGAGTCTACTGGGGAAGCCAGAAGGCCTTTGACCTTTATCAGGAACATTCATTTGTTGAATCCCTGCTGTGTCTTCTAGCACCATAACAGGCAAAATAGGAAGTATGGGGAATGATTCTTGCCATTCAGTCTTGTTAGAAAGATGAATCATAAATCTTTGAAAGATAAACAACAATACATTGTTATGTTGGACCTCAAGGAGCTTTCTATTCCTGGCCAGAATTTTGTAGGTACATAATACAAAACCCTCACAGGAATGTGAATAAATAGGAAGAAGTATATTCTGACCTTTTAGGGACTGTTATGATATATAAAATTTTCTTTAGTAGCAAATGATATGGCAGAAACTTTGCTTTTAACTTACTGAAATGGTTTCGTCTATGAACGGGAAATGTCAGGAGTTCGGCGGGTGGTATTATGGAAGCAAGTTTGAATTTGTCGACAAGATTGCCCTTACATGGCAAGTGAAAGTCATAAAATTTCCCATTAAAGTGTCTATCTGCTCTCTCTTAACCTCTTGTAGACAGCAGACATCTCCCAGTCTGGGACTTTGGAAGGAGAAGAATTTGTTCAGTTCTATAAGGCATTGACTAAGCGTAATGAGGTACAGGAACTGTTTGAAAACTTTTCGGCTGATGGGCAGAAGTTGACCCTCTTGGAATTTGTGGATTTCCTTCAGGGAGAGCAGAAAGAAAAAGATAATGCTCCTGACCTTGCTTTGGAGCTCATTAACCGCTATGAGCCTTCAGACAGTGGTAAGGGAAACTGGGTGGAGAGGCACCAGACATGGGGGACAGGGTGGGGCCATAATTTAAAAGATCCAGAGAGAAGTAATCTTCTGCCCAACTTCTATCTTGGGAGAGGGTGAATCCACCTCTGGCCTGTCACTCTGTTTTGTTTTGTTTTTTTTTTTTCCTCCGGTACTGGGAACCGAACTCAGGACCTTGCGCTTGCCAGGCAGGCGCTTTGCCGCTGAGCTAAATCCCCAGCCCCTGGCCTGTCACTCTGGCACAATCATCTCATTTAGCCATTCCTCCAGAAGGAGAGCAGCCATTCCCTGCCCAGACAAGACAGGGGTCTAGAGGACCCCACTTAGTCCTCTTTCATTAATTATATTCCTGGCTCATAATCTTTACTTTTGGGAAATTTTCCTGTTACCAGCTTTGTCTTGAGTGGAAACAGAAAAATCCATGGTCCTCTTCTTTAGTGGAAATGATTCCTTTTCCTCTGGGTCCCCTTCATAGTTCCTGCTTGCTGTGCCTTTAAATGCTGCCTCTCTGCCATTTCCTGGGATTTCTCCAAATTCTCTAAGTGGTTCCTGAGTCTCTAAGCCCCTGAACCAGAAATCTTTTCACTGCTGGGCTGAGGAGATGATGAGGACAATTATTTAGCATTTAACAAGTGCAGCAAAAATACATCTTCTCAGTCCTTGTATTTTCTTCCACTCTGCCACTTTGTTGTTTTTTTTTTTTTTTTTTTTTTTTTTTT